GGAAGGATATCACTACACATAGCATGTATACCGCATACTGGTCTGGTATAGACGAGACCGGACGAGCATGCCAGGGAGTAGGTGTCATCCTTTCAGAAAGGAAGGCCAATGTGTGAAAAGTATGAATGTGTAAGCCCAAGACTGCTATGGATACGAATGAAAGTGGGCTTAAACAAGTTGTTTGTGTATGATGAGGGTGAAGAGGCTTGGTTATGAAAGGCTATTGGGAAAGTTTGAGGATGAAAGTAAAAATGAGAATGGTGAAAGCCTCCTCACAATATGTTTGGAAAAGAATCTTTTTGTGACGAACACTTTCTTTTGCCACAAGAGCATTCACATGTGTACTTGGGAAAGTGGTGATGATAGAAGCATGATACATTTCATAATTTTAGATGAAAGAATGAGGAGCGCAGTGGTAGGTACAAGGGTTTACTGGGGTCTAACGGTTTTATGCCGAATTAATGGTCTATTCAGGCGTTGGCGCCATCGGACATCTGTGTACTATACTACCACTGCATTCAGCGTATTAAAACAGAAAGGTTACAAGTTGAAGATGAGAAAAACAAGTAAAAATGTAGACTGTAAGAAAATATAAGTGGTTTGGATGAAATATGTATGAATGAGTTAGACTTGGAGAATGTGTGACAAAATGTTAAGAAAGGTTTAGTGGATGCAGCTACCGAAGTATGTGGTGTTAGTAAGAGAAAGAATGAAAGGAAAAATAATACGTTATGGTGGGATGATGAGGTATATATGGAAGTTGAAGCAAAAAAGAGAGCATGGTTAGATTTACGAGCAACAAAGACTGGTAATTCTGGCGGTACGAATGATGATATTGAAAGAAAAAAAGCAGTCTTTAGACATCTAAATAAGACAGTAAAAGAAGTAATTGAAAGGAAAATGCAAGAAAGAACGAATAAGATTGATACAAGAATATCGAATAACTTCCTGGCAAATATAAAAATGTTCTGGAAACTCGTAAGAACTACCGGAGGAAATTCAAAACAGCCTAGAATAGAATGAATGCTAAACGAAACACGAGATGAAAACGGATTTATTATGAGTGACGAAGTTTTGAGTTTATGTGTAATGATGTAATGAACTAGAAATTCCGAAAGAAGGCGAACGGGGTAAGGAGATAGGGGGAAGGGGCTGGAAGAGTAGGGGAGTTTGGGTGTGGATGCTCAGCGAGGGATTCTCCGTCACCGGGGGTGCTGGTACCCTGGTGACGGAGAATCCCTCGCTGAGTTGGTTTGTACTTTATTTTGTATACTTGTCTGTTTTTTGGCTACCTGGTGTTATATTTATCTCCGCTACCATGTTAAGGGGGAGGGGGAATTGGGCCTCCGGCCACCTGCACTCACAAGACGAAATGCAAAAGCTTCTACTTCACGCCGGTCTTCTGTGAGGTTGTGGTACCACCCCGGTTTGAGCCGACCCACACGTGCAACAGCAAAGGCTGCTGCGTGGCTCTACCTCGGTTAAAATTACGATATATTGAAAACGGGCCAAATTAGGAGTACCCTTAACCGACGAGCATGTATGCGTAGGTATATGAATGTGGAGGAGGCGAGAGAGGTGTTTCAGGATCGTGCCAAATGGAAGTCTGTTGTCTCTGCCTACCACTCTGGGTGACAGGCGTGAGTAATGTTATATATACACTTAATCGCATTATTCATATTTAATAATAACTTGCGTTATAAAAGCTCGTTATCATGAATTAAAAGGTTTTATCATTCATACGTATGAGAAATTTCAATATAATAGATTATTTTTAAAGCGCATTAAAATTTAATGAGTTTTTGGTCTTTATTATAAAGCGTTATTATATCCTCAAGTTGGTTGGTTTTCTTGTGCAAATAGGCTGAACCCCAAAAGATATAATATATTTTCTTAAACAAATTGCGTTAGTTTTGGGAAAATTCAATGTAATAAAAATAAGATATTAGCGATGAGTGACTCCTGATAATATAATTTGTGTATAACAACGGATTTAAAAAAAAGGAAAATTAAAATGCACCTTAAATAATAAAATACTTTTAACTTGGGCTGATTTTTCAGTCGTCTGTTCTAAGTAATAAATCTCAAAAAAATAACCGACTGAATTTAAAACTGAAATGATTGAAATATTTTAGTCATACAACTATAATGTTTGATTTTTTATGTCATTATGATTATAAATATTTATTAAGTTTTATCTGCGAAGTGAAAAATCGGCCCTCGAAAGATAAAGTCCACCTTTAAATTCTTCGTTATTAATCAAATTTATTACAAAAAGAGAGTCCAAAATAAAGCTTAGACTAGGATCAATTAGCCTTGATTAAAATTTAGTTCCAAATATTACTTGATATTGTATCAACTTGATGAACAAGACAAGTTAATACATTCATTATTTATAGTACGTTTTAATGTTATATAATTTCAGGCGTTCATTTTAAGAAATTGAAGAATTACGTAAATTAAATCTTCACACTTCTTAAACATAAATGTTGAATATGTATTAATATAATATTAATAAAGTATAGAAAATTATTGTATTGAAGTTAAGTGGAATTTAAGGGGTACGGGTAATGTCCGAAGAAGTAGTAAACATAAAACCCAGGGTTGGGTTAAGTACGAATACCCGTTCACTCGGCTACGGGTCTGATCAGATCATACGTCGGCTCTAGTACGGGTCGGATTAGATCAGAAGTACTGCCCTATGAACTATTTTTTTAAACTATTTTTTTGTCTTAAACAAAACTAAAGACAATATGCAATAGATAATAGTATCAAAGACAAAGATATGCTCTTTTATTTTAAACCGTAACCTGGCAATGTTTCTTAGGAAAAAAAAATCACTCTGAACTTTCGGCATTCCACGTGTCGCTTTGATGAAGGTGCTCCGTCTTTTTTATAGATTTTTGTATTTGTGTCTGGACTAAAAACGAAAGTATTATACTTTTTTATATTCCTTGTAATATAGTAAACGCGTAGATATATAATTTGTGGTATAAAAAGTGAAAAGTAAATTGCCAAAAGTACTTCAAAATCCGGAAGGCCCATTTTGGCGGTTGGGTCATAAATGTGTTATTTTTCAAATTCTCATTTATTTTTAGTGTAAAATGTAAGTAAAAATAGTTTTCTTACATATTTCAAATAACTTGACGTTGTATTTATTTCAAATTCACACAAAACTATTTTTGAAATATTGTTCGAAATGTCATACAGATAAAATATTATTATTATTATTTTTTATTTTTTTTATATTTTAATATTTTGGTATGAGTAATGAATAGAAACACATAAAACATAAAAATATACATATTTCCAAACATTTTCATATAAATTTCTCCAAAAACAAAAGTGTAGAATTCAAATTAGTAGTAATTTTGTAACTAAAATTGAAGTATATACTACTGCTATGCTATACAGGGTAATTTATGTATTTTATTACAATTTCTAGCAACCAAAAATATTTTATTCGATAGTTTATACATTCAACAAGAATTCCTGTAAGTTTTATCCATAAATATTGTCTCAAAGTGAAAATATAGCAAAATTTGCAATATAGCAAAAAATTTCTAACTTACAAATTTTCCCGCCATTAAGGTCCCGAGCGAACGGGAGTATAACATGTCGCGCACTGTCAGAGCTTACCTATTTAAAATAACTACGTATCGCTCCTATACGTAAAGAAAAAGGAGACGTTTCCGTATATCAAGAATATTATGGCCCCAAGTGCTAAAAATATCAAAGTAGTACCATTTGAAATCTTATATATAAATAATTCATAGCTGAAAATTTTACAAGATTTCAATGTGTCAAATGTGATCAAAATGTCAATCTAGAAGCTGAGTTATGGTAGAATAAGTAAAAGTGAGGTTATGTATTACTTACACTGTAACTGACGAGTTTTCACTAAAATACAGTTATATTTATAAACTCGCATACTACGTTACAACGTCAACGTCTACGTTGTTAGACTGTGTTAAAATTGAGTTTGCGCTTGGAAATTAAAATTTTTTCGCAGTGTGAAAGTGTGAATCGAAAAATTAATAAAAAGGACAATATCCCGCATTATAGTGGGATGTAAATACCATTCCTCTAGAAAAGAAAACGATTCCGAAAACATTAGCTTTCACCGGTAAGTCATTGTGTCAACATTAATTTGATACACAATTTACGAGCATTTTCAATTGATAGAAATTCACGTTTTTTGTCATTTTTACTTTAAATTCAAATAATCTTTTAATAAATTAAGTTTTTTGCCCATTTCAAAGTAGTAAAATTTAATGTTTGTTGTTTGAAAATTTTAGTTGAAATTTTTGCAATATTGTTGGAAAAATATATCTTTAGCATAAATTATCGATAGTTTTACGATTAAATAACAGTTTTCCTACGGACTTCAATTTAAGACAAAAAATGGATTGACGCTATTGCACGTCGCCATTGGGAGTGGAAAAGCACCACCGTATTTGTTTCAGACATTTTAAAGAGAGCTAATTAAATGCTATACCTTCACTACATCATCACGCAAACGCTCCGCGATAAGTAACGACACGTATTTAATCTGCTCCTCAATTTTTATTCAAAATCAGTGTAAGAATTAAAGTTTTACCGTGATTCTATATACGTTTCGATAGCATAAAGTGTAAACTTTGTAATAACACCACTGGACAAGTGAAATCCACCTAGATTGTGAGTAATAGAAATAAACATTTTAAAAATAATCGTTTGCTAGGTACCGTCCCTGACCTAGGGCAACTCGCAGCCGTCTCGCATCTACGCACACATACGCATCGCACAGTGTACGTGACGTACAGCACAGCGCTTTTATCGCTAACGCCTTATTCATCCGCAACTTTCAAGCGCATCTTGAAGCCTTGCTTACTATGGGTGGAAATAAATGCTCTGGATGCCGCCACAACATAACTACTAGAGAGTTTCTAGTGTGATCTGCTTGCTTATCTAAATGTGACCTTTTATGTACTAATGTTGGTTTAAAAAGATTTAATCTGATGAATCAAGAAATAAGACACAGCTGGAAATGTCCTAAATGTCATAGTAAGCAACCAAAAACTGATAACACGAACTCACCGTTGCGCCAACCACTTCAATCCACTCAGCCGGGCCGCAGTAACGTCAGCGTACTTGATGAAACATCATGTGAAGCCAGCAACGTTACCATCAGAGCTCGCCAGCAATCACAGGCTGTTCCAGTTGATCACCGTTATGTGACGGAAGATTCACTGCGGCGAATACTTAGTGAGGAATTGTCATGCATGATGAAAATGCGCGCATAACGGAATTTAGTGAGTCCATTGCTTACTTTAACAGGCAATATGAGGAAATGATGGCTGAATTACAGGAAAAGTCGGCTATTATAACAGGGCTGCAAAAAGACAACGAAACGCTTCAATCAAGAGTCAAAGCTCTGTCCCAAAGACTCAATCTGGCGGAGCAGAATATGATAGAGTCGAATTTGGAAATAAATGGCGTACCAGAACATAAAACGGAAAATTTGTCAACCATTTTAACCCAAATAGCAAAAATCGTTGACTGCCATATTGGAGATGAAGATATTCATCATGTAACCCGAGTTGCTAAGCTAAACAAGGACAGTGACCGGCCTCGCATGGTTATTGCTAAGCTCCGCAGCCCCCGACATCGAGACGCCATGTTGGCTGCTGTTGCCAAATTTAACAAAAGTAACCCAAAGGAAGAACTGTCAACCCAATATCTTGGTATGATGGGTCCGCCAAAACCTGTGTTTGTCTCTGAGCACTTACCACCAGCTATCAAGTCCCTGCACGCAGCAGCTCGCCTCAAGGCCAAGAAGGAAGATTTCAAATACGTATGGGTTCGTAATGGACGCGCCTTATTACACAGAAATGAGTACAGTCTAGCCATCCTCATTCGAAATATTGAGTGTCTTAATTCGATAACCTCTTCTCAACATAGATCCTAATAACTCACGTATGAGGTACCTTTGGAATATACTATCAAAACATGCGTGGTCTGAGAACGAAAACAACTGACGTATTAAAAAACATTTTGGTAAATAATTACGACGTTATAGTGTTTACGGAGACTTGGTTAAATCTGGATGTTGCTAGCAGTGAAATTTTCGATTCTAGATATAAGGTTTATCGTAGGGACCGTGTATGTTCCTAATCCACTAAAATGGACGGCGGAGGAGTATTAATAGCTGTATTGCGAAACATTCCATCCTCTCGTGTTGAGCGATAGGAAAGTAACTGTGAAGATTTATGGGTATCGGTACAAATAAAAATTGGCAATATTACCTCGGATATTGCCATTTGCGCGGTATATTTACCTCCACCAGTTAAATCAGATACTTTGACATATTTCCTTGACAAAGTTGATAACGTTACATAACAACCCAATAACGTTCTAATTATGGGCGATTTTAATCTAGGATTCATTAACTGGAGTAGAGATCACGATCATATTGCTCAAATGGTTCCATCTAATTATAATAGTACTCTCGGATGCGGTCTTATTGATTTCATGTCTCTTAACAACTTTAGTCAATTTAACAACATACCAAACAGTGACGGAAGATACTTAGATCTCATTATGAGCAACATTCCCAGTGTTGATGTCTCGGAGCCTCTAGAACTCTTGAGTAGGCTGGACTATAAACATCCTAATCTTTTAGTAACGTTGCAAAAAACTAATTTTGTTTATCTGCAGCCTAAGAAACGAACTGACCACAATTTCTATAAGGCAAATTACGAGGAAATTGCCTCGGACCTGGAGTGTATAGATTGGCTGGAGAGAATTTCGAGCTGTAGCAACGTCAATGAAATGGTTTCAAAATTCTATGATGAACTAAGATTAATTATTGATAGATCTGTCCCCAAGCGCCGTCCTTCCAAGTGTAAATACCCCAAATGGTTTAGCCGCACCCTAATTAAACTTCTATCTGGGAAAAATAAGCTACGCAACAGATATCGGAAATATAGTAATCCACGTGTCAAATTTGGACATGACCTCTTACGGAGCCGCTGTCACAAGCTTATTGACAAGTGTTATAGTGGCTATAAGACAAATATTGAGAATAGAATATCACGTAACGTCAAATCTTTTTGATAATACATAAAAGACAAACGTAGCAACCAGTCAACTCTTCCCTCAAAAATGCAATTAAACGATTCCATTGCAGAATCTGGTTCTGAAGTAGCCACTCTTTTCGCTAGACATTTTGCTTCCACGTTCAGTTAAAATTTTGAGAAAACAAATCACAACTTCGAGGATTTATCGCCACTTATTTTATCGAATGTTCAATTTTCTGAAAATGATACCTTAAGAGCAATTAAACGATTAGACATACAGAAAGGAGCCGGTCCTGATAAAATACCTCCTCTATTTATAAAGACCTGTGGATCTCTTTTGTCTTAACTATTGACTATGATCTTCAATTGTTCGCTCAGAGATGGTGTGTTCCCCGAGGAATGGAAAAAAGCAAAAATAGTACCTGTATACAAAAAAAGGTGAAACAAGCAACGTAAAAAACTACCGGCCGATTTCCATTTTGTCTACATTTTCGAAATTGTTTGAGTCTCTGATTAATCCACTAATTATTAGCCACATAGATACTTCACTAACTGAGTACCAGCATGGGTTCCACGGGGGCCGCTCAATACAGACTAATTTGGTCTCATTTATTTCTGAAATTGCACTGGAGGTTGATAGTGGAAGTTAAATTGATGCTGTATACACAGATTTAACCAGTGCTTTTGACAAAGTAAATCACGCACTACTTTTAATAAAATTGCAAATGAAAGGGATACATGGTAGTTTGCTTCACTGGGTTAGGTCTTACCTCAGTATTAGACCCCAGGTTTTTGCTGTTGGGGGTTTTGAGTCAGATGTATATTTTGTATCTTCAGCAGTCCCACAGGGCTCTCATTTAGGTTCAATACTATTTCTCATATTTATTAACGATATAACGGTGCACATAAAAAACTGTAAATTCAGCTTAATTGCGGATGATTTAAAAATTTACAGAGCAAATAATTCTTCCCATGACATAAAACTTATCCAGGAGGATTTAGACAGTATTCACACATGGTGTGAATCAAATGTTATGACCCTAAACGTTGATAAATGCTACCATATCAAATTTACAAAAACAGAAAAATCATTTCCCATCAACTTATGAAATTAACGGCTCAACATTAACTGAAGTAGAAGAAATAAGAGATTTAGGTGTAACAGTAGACAAGCACCTTAAATTCACTTCACATATTAACAATATTGTACATAAATCCTCGAAAATGCTTGGTTTTCTTAGGCGAAGTACTGTGAGTTTCCGTTTAAATTGCACCCGAAAAATACTATATAATGCTTTGGTCCGGAGTAATTTGGAGCACTTTAGCGTGGCATGGAACCCTGTATATGCTGTTCACTCTCAACGCTTGGAGGGTATTCAGCGTGCATTCACTAGGCATCTGGCATTTATTACGCAGGGCGTGTCACACCGGTCACCATATGAGCATCGTCTTGCCTTTTTTAAAATGAACTCGTTGCGTAGCCGTCGAAGGAATCAGGATTTGGTGTTTTTGCACGGACTTGTCAACGGCAAAATAAAATGTAATGAGCTCCTAGAACGTGTTAAATTGACGGTGCCTGCTCGCATACTCCGACATCCTATCAAAAAAACTTTTGCCTTTCCTTCTGTAAGAACTAACCTTGGACGCCATTCTCCTCTCGTCAGATGTTGCGCACAATACAACGAGATGAATATCGAAACATTTGACATTTTCCACGAATCTTTGCCGGCCTCTTGGCCGGCCGGCCGGCCCTTTGTGAAGAGGCATTTCTTCTTAGTTAAGTTTTTGGTTTTTATAATGATTTCTTATATTTACGCGAACACTACACATTGAAATAATACTAGTTTTTACGGAATTTATCGCGTATATTTTAACTTTTTAAATACCCGACGTTTCGAACGCTTTACAGCACTCATGGTCACGGGCAGGACTGAGATGTTCAACGTCCATATGTCATAGTTAACCGCGGTTACCATAGATTAAAATTTTAACTTTTGTTCCGATCTATGCAGTATGAACTTATGGTATCTTGAAGTCTTGCAGTTGTATGCTTGGGTTGGGATTTAATATTATTTATTATAGGATTCCAAGCAGATGGTAGCACCCAGCCATCTTCTCTATTGAAATTAGGATGTTTTTTGATTTCAATAGCCTCGCGAATCATCCTTGGAAGGAATCGGTGTTCTTTAGCGAGGATCTGCGGTCTATCAAATCTGATGTAGTGACGGGGGCGATCCTGTACGTGTTCACAGATTGCAGACTTCCCGGAGCGTCGATTCTTCACATCAGCTATATGTTCTTTAACGCGGGTTTTTATTGATCTTTTAGTTTGTCCTATGTAGGAGAGACCACATTCACAATCAAGCTTGTACACTCCTGCATCTTGCAGAGGGACATTACACTTGACCGATGGTAAAAACTGACCAATCTTCTTCAGCGGCTTGAAGTATGTTTTGATGGAAGCGCGCTTCAAGATGTAGCCAATCTTGTCAGTGACTCCTCTAACATATGGCAGTACAGCAGGTACACGCTCGACTGTGGCCGGCTTCACTCGTTCACTGTGAAGGATGATTCGCGAGGCTATTGAAATCAAAAAACATCCTAATTTCAACAGAGAAGATGGCTGGGTGCTACCATCTGCTTGAGATCCTATAATAAATAAAATTAAATCCCAACCCAAGCATACAACTGCAAGACTTCAAGATACCATAATTTCATACTGCATAGATCGGAACAAAAGTTAAAATTTTAATCTATGGTAACCGCGGTTAACTATGACATATGGACGTTGAACATCTCAGTCCTGCCCGTGACCATGAGTGCTGTAAAGCGTTCGAAACGTCGGGTATTTAAAAAAGTTAAATATACGCGATAAATTCCGTAAAAACTAGTATTATTTTTGTTTTTTTTGGTGAATTTTACTATTTTATTGTTTTAAAATTTTCATATATATATATGTATATCTTCTGTCAATGTTGTGTACGCCTATAATAGGTATAAGTGTAAGGAATGTACTTTATAAATGTAACTCTTATAATATGTATACATGTACTGTTGGTGTACCTTTTAAATAAATAAATACATCTGCGGAATAACAAACATTATACATTAAGATCCTTTTACAATAAACCTGTTTATGTTGTACATCACTGTTGTTTTGATTTGTTAAAAAAATTAAATTGCTGATTACGCGGCGTTGATATTTTTATGTTGACATTTTGACT